TCCTTGGCCTCAGCCTCTGAGAGTTTCTGGGATTAAAAGCACGCACCACCATGCCTGGCTCTGCTCTTTATATGTCTTGTGGTGGAATGAGGAGTGGCGTTGGTAGAAATGTGTTTGACCATATCTCTTCTTCATAAGATGTAGAGAGTCCTCGCTCCAAAGGATGCTACTCCCATTGTAACAGAAAGGGACTTAGTGCCTCTCATCCTTACTTGGGGACTGGAGGACAGTTCTGGAGCACCAGCAAAAGCTGCATTCAGTATCTTTGACACTGGCTCTTTGTGGCTGCACTGGGCCTGGGTGCAGGTGGGCTAGCCAGATAATCTAAATTCCTAATAAAAGGGTATTTATTTATTTATTTATTTATTTTTTTGTCCTGGGGATTGAACTCATGACCTTGCACTTGCCAAGCAGATGCTGTGCTGCTGAGCTATAGCCCCAGCCCTTTTTTTTTTTTTTTTGAGACACGGTATCACTATGTAATTCAGGGTGACTGAGTTCATTATATAGCACCCTTCTGCCTCAGCCTCTCAAGTGCCAGGATTACAGGCATGCACCACCATGCCTGGCTCTTATTTCTTACTTATTTATTTTTTTGGACACAAGGTCTCCCTAAGTATGATAGTTCAAACTGGCTTTAAATTCACTGTGTAGGGCTAGGGATATAGCTCAATGGCACAGGTGCCTGCCTGGCAAGTATAAGATCCTGAGTTTAATTCCTGGTACAAAAAGAAAAGATAAACTAAATCAAAAATAGCATTTTGAAGGGCCAGCCAGATGGCTCAGTGGAGTAAAGGGCCTGCTTAGGCAGACACAAGGACCAGGTTTTGTGCTGAGACAGCAAATGAGACTGGGCGTAGTGGTGTGGGTTTGTAATCCCAGTGCTTGGGAGGCTGAAAACAAAATGATCACTACGCGTCCAAGCTGTGTAGTGACACCCTGTAGACCCTGTACTAAATACATTTCAAATCCCCCCCCCAAAAAAAAAAAAAAAAACAGAAGTTTGAGGATTGGGGAGATAGCTTGGCGGCCTAAGCACCTGCCTGGCAAATGCAAGGACCCAGTTTTGATCCCCAGTGCCACATGCTATGTCAGCCCCAGAACCCTGGGCATGCTGTGCCAGCCACCAAAACCGGCATGGTGTACAGGCTTGTAATCCCAGCGCTGGGGAGCCTGAGATAGGATTACTATGAATCTGAACCATCTGTATCACATATATAAATAAAATATTTTTAAATAATAAATGAATAGGAGTTGGAAGAGGCGAGTCCGGTCTCAAAATGGAGGGCCATGATCCAAAGGAGCCAGAGCAATTGAGGAAGCTGTTTATTGGTGGTCTGAGTTTTGAAACTACCGATGATAGTTTAAGAGAACATTTTGAAAAATGGGGCACACTCACAGATTGTGTGGTAATGAGAGATCCT